TCTTTGTTCAGTGTCCGGCCTGCCACCATGGTAAAGAGACCAAAAACCACTCCCATGTGTAGAGTTAGTCAGGAAAATCTCCACAAACGTTCACAGTTTGAAATTTTAGTTATCCTCTGGGGTTCTTTTAAAGGTATAAGTCGTAGTTTGAGTTTTTTTCGCTTTGCATTTCTTAAACACGTAAAATTCAGGTCAATCCTACTTTCCACCGCATGGGATATGTAGTAGGATGCCATACTTTGTCTTATATTCCCAAAATATCATCATCATCCTTTTTTCCTGTAGACACTGGATCCTCACCGCGAAGTTCAACCTGATTTATCGTCTCTTTTCATAGTGAAAAATTGCTATATTTGGTTTTGACTTAGGTTACCCCTTTTCTAACGTAATTGTGGCAGGTCAGAGACAAGCACATCTCGGGGTCTTAGTATCATGTGACCCTCCACTTCTGCAGAAGATTTTAGATAATTCGTCGGAGTTTGATTTTCCGCCAATGGGAATAATCTTTAACGAAAAATTTTCGTCACCTGTAGCCATACACCAAAAACATTTTCCCAGCATTTTTCCTATGATGACCTACTTAAACCTATGCGATGGCTACTCAAAATTTCTGTTTCTGTCTAAACTGATACGGAAATGTGATTGAATATGTTGTTGTATCCAGCAAAGAGCCAAGGAAAACCATAGTACTGACATGCTTCCCCCATTGACGCTCCATTGTGAACTGTATCTGCTTCATTGTGACCATCTCAATTATGTTTCCCAGAATTTTGAATCATGACTACGGATACAGTCTCGTAAACTTATTCGCAGATAGGAGATGAAACAATAACCAGCGGGAACGGCACTACTGAGGAAATTGCATTTCCATAACGGAAGGAATCAGGACATATACAATCCGTTTAGAAGATTTCCTACAATGCTGACTCTGACTCTGACACAGGACACTAACACATGATCAACCTAAACTGTCTTCACAGAAACCAACCTGTTTACTGTTTACTATTTGTATCGTTTGCCTCCTTCTAAAACGCAACCTGAAAAGGTCGTAATCTAATCAGTGGGGTTCTTTCTAGAAATAACTCTCGGAAAGCCCTACGCACGTGAATCACCAGAGAGCCCCGTAGACTGAAATATTTGTATAAAATGTGCTCAGTGTAGACTCAAACCATAATACTTATTGGTCTGAACAACCGAATGCGCCCACGGCATGCAACTACTGAGCTTAAGCATACTCAACGCTCACTGGTGATGGTTAAGGCGTTTTTAGGTGAGCCTACAAAATAGGGGTTACCTAAATAGCCCAAGACTAGGTAAGGACAGCGCAGGTAGGGACAAATAACATTCGGACTAAAACTCTATGCCACAGACTAGGCACAGTAGCTTTGTCACAAGGCCTTTTTAAACAGGAATGATGCAGGTGCAGCCGAGATTTTCCAAAGATGTAGTTATTGTCTACATGTTTACGAGTTTTTCAGGGCCTCTTTTTTGAAAGAAGAAACCACGTAGTGCTTGTTTTGTTACAACACGAAATGGTTCCCGAATTTTGATCTGGCCACCTCTCTTCCACTTAACGAAAAGTGTAACATTATAAAGGAAAAATAGAACATAATAAGGATTGTGAATACGTTTCTCCTCGGATAGGTCTGTGAATAGGTCACTACATACTGTTGAGTGATTTCAGCTTTTTTATTCACTATTTTTCTGCGACATTTCGTCCTGAAAATGAAGTCGGTCAATGATAAAATACCGGGAGTCACATGCCAGCTGTTTCTTTTTTGCTGGGACCCATCAAAGTTGCGCATTGTATGATACGGGCTTATTATTACTTCGATCACTGTTAGCACATCAATCTAAGTGTAATCATGCCCCTTTTAAAAGGCTTTTATTACAATTATACTTAGTCATAATGCCAAAGGACCAGGTCTCATGGAAAGATGCCAAAACTTACCCCCTTTCAATGACAAAGCTTCCTGTGTTGCCGAAGTGAGTGACCAGATGAGGGAAATACATTAACTCAGTAAACACTTCAATTTGAGGCGTTTTATTATCGGTGAACGCTGTTGTTTAAAAACTTACCTTGGCGTTTTCTATGCAAGGACAAATGGCCCATGCGGCACCAGACTGAACCTCAGGATTAGGATTTTTCAGCAGGGACCACAGTAGACGAACGCCATCCAAACTCTCTATTATACTGAAAAGATAAAAAATTTGGCCTAGCGCAAACGCTCAACAGCGATGGAGTGAGCTGTGATACAAAGTAGTTTTATGAATGCATCTGGTGCCCAATCTGCCAAAGCTAGTGTCTTGATATGTAAGTCACTTACATCGGGTACAATGTTGACTGAGTGACTTGCTTTATAACTATTATCTGAATAAAATTTTTGCTGGTAAACCTTTCTATGTCCCACCGGAATATAGGGGTCACTATTGCACCACAGGTCACAATTTCCCTAATTGCAACAGGTACTTGGTGTAAAGTGCTCGTTAGGTGCTACTCCACGCCATCAGGACGAATGGCCATGTCGCATTCAAGACTGCTTCAAAAAGTGTGGACAATACCGCAGTAATACGGAAACTCGGATGTATAGTTCGTGTGAAAAATTCGAAACGCCGGGCGAAAAGATGTAGAGTTACGCATACCTCAGTGGATGGTTTAGATAGGTAATGAATGCGAAGCAATCCGTATCGATCGAAGGTAAAGTTTAGTTTAGATAATTTTCAGGGTTTTTTACTTCTTTTGAGCAGCACTGCTGCTTCGTGAAATGACTGCATTTTCTTTTATGCTATAAACGTTTGTGTGCTTGATTGTGAAGTCAGCTGAACTTTAACTCTTGAATGTTTGTCCTAGAATTCTGACTCTGACTGCAGCCCCCAGACTTTGTTCCATAGTCTTCGGTCAGACATCCTCTGACTGGTCTTCCTGACGAAGGAGAGTGTGATCCCATTGTCTGTTCGGTTGACCAGTCAACTGCGTGTTTGACAATTATCAAACTGCTTGAGAATAGAAAGACGGTGTGCGACATACATCTAAATTATCTAACTCCTCACCCTCCAAACTGATGGACAATAGAAGAAATATTAGTTTAACTGCACGAGAATATTTTTTTCTTCTGGCTGTGATTTATATGAGTATTGCCCGTACCATGTGTATACTCAACTCTTCAGATTTTGAGTGAATGTGAATAGAGGAGTACACGAAGTTGTTTCCATGATTTCCATGTTTTATTCTACTCGTCTGTCGTTTTCGAAACTCATCACAATGCGTCTGTACCTCTTTGAAATTTCTGGGGAATCACTAATTTTGAGCAATACGATCTGTTCACTCTAGCACACTTGAAATGATAAATTTATGAGCGGGCTCACCCAATGCTTGATGTTTATTTAAACAAACTGGATTTCTCTTTCCAATACTTTTAGAGATAACACAAGCCACTTAATACATCGAAATAATGATTACTCATTGGTTGTATAAGTGCTAACAACGGTCATCATTTCGTAACTCGATATTCAAGAAGATTCAGACGATAAACGTCGTGCACTTTTAACGTCGAATCATGTTTCCTTGTAGTTGAAAAGTGAACCATTTAGATAATGCTGTTCCGATTCATTTGGGATGGTACCACTCCATGGAACCATCACAATCAGTTTGTCTTGAGATTAGGCTAAATAGATAGGTTTATTATAGTGTAACTTACCTCATACTTTCTGGTTCTCCGGCACATTTTTCTATAGCCCTGGTGGTATTTATAAGCAGATCTTGGTTGGTTCTCGTCAGGAGTGAAACAAGTGGTGGGATTCCATGTGTCTTTCTAATGGTAACAATATTATTGGCATCTTTGGCCATTTCCCCAAGCGCACCAACGACGTTGACCAGCACCTGCACAGTGGAAAGATTGTAATGGAATTCAAGACTACAATTTTTTCAGAAAACTGTGGCAAAAACAAAAAAGTATACGCATGTTTGTTTCAAGACTTAGTTTTCACATTTTCTATGCTCTGATTTGATGCTATAACGATAACTGGTATTCAAACTTCATTAAATCCTGCTGTTACTGGAGGCCTACAATCCACAGACACCTGTCGACTTTCTTTCCATTGGATTAACTTAGCATTTCGTCCGTTAACTGATTGCATAGAGCAACTTTGGCCTCAAACAAATGGTACTTTAGTAAGATGGTTGTGATATATATATAT